GCAGAGCATGAGCAGGGGAAGGGCAGAGAGAGAGAGGGAGACGCAGAATCTGAAACAGGCTCCAGGTTCCAAGCTGTCAGCACAGAGCCCAATGCGGGGCTCGAACCCACAGACCGCGAGATCATGACCTGAGCCAAAGTCGGATGCTCAACCAACTGAGCCACCCACGAGCCCCCACACAGGAATTTTTTCAAGCGATGTTGAGCAAAAGAAGCAAGACAAAATGAGTCCAATGGCTTCATTTTATATGAAGTCCCTGAACAGGCAAATTACTACACCGTACTGTTCAGGGGCGCACACAGACATGGTGAAAAGTAAAGGAAAGCGAGGAAATGATTACCAGGGACCAGGTCAGGGTGATGACCCATCTAGGGGCGGGGGCTGTGGACCGGAACAGGAGTCCAGAGGGCAGCCGGCTGCTGTCTGTGGACCCGAGTGACAGCACAGGCGTTCAGATCACAGCCATTCATTAAGTCGTGTGCACAGTACGCCTATTTGCGTGTGTACTTCTTACCTACGCCATTTTTCCACAGGAAGAAAACCCAAACCGTAGGTCCAAAGACATTAAAAAGCAGAAACCCAGACAAACCTCTAAAGTCTACACGAGAAATTTATAACAGAAAACAAGGAATAACATATAAGCAGATGTGGAATACTGAGAATATGAAGGGGAACTGGAAACAATTCACACGCTGCGACCTGCGACGGTGCAGCAGGAATCCACCCTAAAGATCCTAATTACAGAAACGGCTTCTACGGCTAACGCTCTTCCCAGCGCCACACACACGAGCAGAGACCCGAAGGCAAGTAGACGACACAGGGAACTGCGATAATCAACGTGCAAACGGGGCGCGCCGCTCGAGTGTGCCACACGGTTACGCCCAGGACTGCCGATCCTACTCCTCTGCCTTGCTAGGTTGGAAACCCTAAGCCACCCATCTTCCCTTAGCAGCGGGCGCGACGTATGAAATTCGGGAAGCACTCGAGTTTGTAACGCTTCCGCTCCCTGCAAAGAAGGGATTACCTGTAAAATATTTTTTCCTCTTTGGAAGAAGCGCCGATAGGAGTTTTCGAATCTGCAGAAGGAGTCTCACCTGATGGGTGCGGTGGCTCCTTCCGGTCCCCCGAGCTCAGAAAGGGGCACGAGGTCCCACTTGAAGTGCAGCCCCCAGTTGAACCCTCCGCGCACGACGGGGGACGAGCTGTAGGCGAGCGTGTCCGCACTGATGATGTCAATGACGGGGCACACGACGGTCCGCGGGTCCTCCCGGATGGCGGCCAGCAGGGGCTGCAGCCACAGCACGTTCACCTCGCAGTGGCTGTCCAGGAACACCAGGACCTCTCCTGAGGAGGCAAACGACAGGCAGCCGCTTGGAGCGTGCGACGTACAATACAGCCGGCCGCCCTCCAGCCCCACGGCTACACCCGTCCTCTGCTGCAGGCCGGGGGAGGAGCTGGTCGCGAGCCGGGCCTGAAGCCACTGCTGTGGGTGTGGAACGCGTGCAAACACACTCACTCTCCTCGGTGACGAGATTCCAAGTCTCACGGGACCAATTCTGTTCTCCGGACAGAAAGGTAAGGAGTGTGGTGCAAGGACAGTGGCCCTTTGTGTGTGGATGTTTTTATTACAATTACTGTAATCAAACTACCTCTAAACGTAGGGTACGTTTCCTTGCCTCAGTCAACGGAGGACAGAGAACGTATTTTCACTGGTGACTCGGAAACGTGACTGCAATTATCAGTGACTGCCACGACAGTGACACGGGCTCCCTTCTCCCTTGAGGTCACCACTCAGCTGCCACATTCTCATTCCTGTTTGCTTCCCATCTTTCCAATTCCCCAACCTTGTTGGCTGAAGTGGCCCTCATGAGCCGATGGGGTAGCCTTTCTTCTAGTTAGTAAAATAAAAACCATAAAGATTTTTATCCTGCGTTTTTAACTTGATGCAAGAGGCATACAGGGAACGTAGGCGATGTCGCTACGAGGGAATCCCCCCCCCCACCCCCAAAGTTCCAGAATTCTCAAATTACCTTCATGGTTTTACTTGTTTGTTTTTTGGCCTTATCCATGCAACTACCTGCAATATTATATATATAACATCTTAAAACTGATTCATTTAACTTAAATAAATTAATTTTAACGGGAAAATTTTATCAAGATCACTAACCTTACAGAGGTAACCCTACACACACACACACAAAAATATAACGGAACCGATGCAGTATAACTGAGGACTAACCAGATTTTCTGGTGAAGATGAAACTTAACACCTGTTCTTTCTCTTTAAAAGGAGAGATTCGTATATGCTAGAAAGGTTTTAAAGATATATCAGTAAAATGGAGGCTTTATCTTTGATGGAATCAGAAGGACTCAGAGGGAATTTTGAAGAAGGTACCTTTGGAGTTTCGTAAGTTGCTTTTTATTTATTTTTATTCTTTAAAGATTTTATTCTTAAGTAATCTCCATACCCAATGTGGAGTTCGAACTTACAACCCCGGAGATCAAGAATTGTATGCTCTACTGACTGAGCCAGCCAGGTGCCCCTGTAAGTCAGTTTTTAATATTATAGCCCATTTCTCCAAGGAAAACCATGATGCCCTATCACCAGCGGTATGTATTCGTAGTAAGGAAGCACTGGCACAAGTCAAACCAAACAGTCTGGGTACACGTAGTTTAAATGTTGTATTAAAAAAAAATACAGAAGCTCAGTTACAATTTTTCTTGGACTCTTCTCTATGGAAGTTAAACAACACCGAAACCTACGTGAGGAGCAGGGCAGTAATTCACAGTAGGGGCCCCCAAGAAAACAGATCGGCTTGGACTCCAGAGTCCCCCTCCGTGGCGTCTGCGTCTGGGGACAGCAGGGGTTGGCGTTACGAAGCGGCCCTTCCCAAAGCAATCGAGCTTCGTCTCTCCTGACAGTGTCCATTTAAGATACTCACTTTTCAACCGATCTCTGCAGAATGAGGCTCCAAGGACAAAGCCCTTGTCGCTCGACACCCACCGAGAAGAGTGGCAGGAAGCTGTACCTGTAGCATGGGCCGCTCCGATCATCCTTCCTCGAATCAGTCCCTCACGCTTTGTGTTTCTTATTACTTTAATTTTTCCAGGGAGGTATTTTTGGACATATTCTTCTAGTTCTCCTTTCAAATCATCTGAAAATAAAGAGCCCATAGTAAAACCACATGAGACATGTACAAAGACAGTTTTTTATAGCTACTCTAAAATTGCACCTGGTACTTGCAACAACAGATTATCAAGTAAGTATTACAGAATCTTCTGCTGCTTTATTTTAAAAAAGCATGGCAGCTTATCTCCTGAGGAAGAGAAAGGAAAACATGAAGGATAAGAATGGAAACACTAGTCAGAACAGTTACCTTGTAGACTTACTTGTATTTCCACAGCAACTAACACAATGCTTTGCATAAAGAAGGTCTGAAATGAGTACCTGGAGTGAATCAATTTTCAGCTGACTACACATAAATCAGGTTTACAACAAAACCAAAAAATGAGATACAAATGTCTTTTGTTTGAACGTAATTTATTAGCTATTATTCCATTTCAGAATAGTCGACACAACTTCTACTGCCCCTACCAAAAATTATATAACAACAATAAACATGTCCTTTTACTAATCTAGCACCTTCCAAGTGCACTAAATAATTTTTATACATTCTAGCTCATTCACCTTTCAATTTCATAACTTCAAAGATCATCTAAGAAGTAATTCTTTCCATTGTTAGTAGATAAACCATTGTAAGTTAGCATGACTTTTTGCTTTTAGATAAAATAGCTACAAACTGAAAAACCACAAATTTAAACAAAATATCGACACCATCAAGTCTCCAATTGAGTATTTAGCCAACATCCTATTTGGTCCAGACTCACGTTCTTGCTTTTTTAATCATTCATTTTTGAAATTAAGTTTTGTTTTCTATTAACCTTCCTAAATTTTCTCCTGTGCTATTTGAATATTTTTACCAAGGTTTAAGTAGTTTGCTCCCATTGGGCTCAGTGTACCTTTCCTCACTTTGTATATTTAACTGGTAGGCCAATTCTGCTGTTGGTAAGAGGTGCTTAATAAACACTGGAGCAATGAAAAATATGTAACTGGCATACAATTTATTAATATACCTCTGCAGCTTGCCGTGATGAACAGAAGGTTTGGAGCTACGTGGACTAGAGGTTTAATTTCAACTCTACCACGTAACGGCTATGGGACCTTGACCAAATTACTTAACATTTCCTCCTCTATAAAACGAGGACATAACCTCTCTCAAGGTAGCTGAGAGCCGAATGAGCAGCGTAAATAAAAAGCCTTCCATCCTGGGGCCCCTGGGGGGCTCAGTCGGTTAAGCGTGGACTCTTGACCTGGCCTCAGGTCGTGATCTCACGGTTTTGAGATCCAGCCCTGTGCTGTTACTGCGGAGTAGGCTTGGGATTCTTTCCCTCCCTCTCCGTCCCTCCCCTACTTGTGTGCACGCACACGCTCAGTCTCTCTCAAAATAAATAAGTAAACATTAAAAAAAAATGAGTAAGTCACAGAGATGAAAAGTACAGCAGAGGGAATACAGGCAGTAATATTGTGATAACATCGTACGGTGACCGACGGGACTGCACTTTCTGTGGTGATCACCACGTAATGTACAGAACTGTTTAATCAATATGTAGTTCAATGAAAACTAACATAACACTAAAATTTATTATACTTCAATAAGAAATTTAAAAAAGAAAAGTGTGTAATATACGTACTGAATCATAAAACACTGGCATTCAGGGATCATCTAAGAGCTATCACAAAGCAATCCACTTTTATCTGGGGATGGTCGGTGTAACAGACTTATTAGATAAATATAAGCCAAGGCATTATGCTGAGTGAAAAAAACCCATCTCGAAAGGTCACATACTGCACGATTCTATTTATGTAACAATTCTTGAAATGGCAAAATCACAGAGACAGAAACAAAATCACAGAGATTAGGGGTGCCAGGGATCAGGGATGGAGTGGGTCGAGGAGGTGGGTGGTGTGAATATTAAAAGCTAGCATGATAGGGGCGCCTGGGTGGCGCAGTCGGTTAAGCGTCCGACTTCAGCCAGGTCACGATCTCGCGGTCCATGAGTTCGAGCCCTGCGTCGGGCTCTGGGCTGATGGCTCAGAGCCTGGAGCCTGTTTCCGATTCTGTGTCTCCCTCTCTCTCTGCCCCTCCCCCGTTCATGCTCTGTCTCTCTCTGTCCCAAAAATAAATAAACGTTGAAAAAAAAAAAAAATTAAAAGCTAGCATGAGGGAGATCTTTGTGGTCAGGGAGTTGTCTGTATCTTGATCGCAGCGGTGGCTCCAGGAACCTACACAGGGGATAAAATGACACAGAACTGCGTATACACACTGTGCCAAGGACAAATTCCTGGTTTGGATGTTGGGCCAGGGTTACGTTAGAAATAACCAATGGGGGAAATGGGAGGAATGGGGGGTAAGAGGTAACAGACCTCTTTGTAACTTGCTGTTACTAATCTATATTTTGAAATAGAACAATTTTTTAAAAAGATAAGCCAAGGGGGGCACCTGGGTGGCTCAGTCGGTTAAACATCCGACTTCAGCTCAGGTCATGATCTCACAGCTTGTGATTCGAGCCCCGCATCAGGCTCTGTGCTGACAACTCAAAATCTGGAGCCTGCTTTAGATTCTGTGACTCCCTCTCTCTCTGCCCCTCCCCCACTCATTCTCTCTCTCTCTCTCTCTCTCTCTCTCTCTCTCTTTCTCTCTCTCTCTCAAAAGTAAATAAACATTAAAAAAAATTTGCTTAAAGATAAGCCAAGGGAAAAATTTCAAGCACCAAACTTAAATGGCACAGTCTGAAAAAGATCACAAAGACAATGTTGTTTCCTCTAATCGACAGACATTATTTGTTGCTGACTCCACTGCCACTCTGCGGACGAGGGTCCTGTCCACCACCTATCCTGACAGTCAGCTCCACTGGATGCTCACGCTGGTGCTCACACGGCCACGATCAACAGCCCAGATCCCATGGCATCAACTGCAACAGCCCTTACCAAAGTCACTGTCATCATCCACAAGGATGATTTCATGAAGGAGCTGGGCTGGCGTGCGGTCTAGAACGCTGTGCACCGTACGAAGCAAGGCAGACAAGGCTTCATTGTAGAAACAGATAACGACACTGGCGACTGGCAGGTCCGCGGGGTAAGACTTGTCTTTACATCTGTAAAGGCATGTATGAGAAAAGGTGACATCTTAGAAGGTTCAAATGTTTTAGGTCGTTATTCACTCAACATTAACTGCCCCTGTTCAGCCTCTTTCCTACATTGTAATGACAGTTTTTTAAAAACCACTGAAGAACACATCACGTGTCTTACTCAAGAGTTTTACATTTCAGTAATTCCTCCCTCCAATACCTGCCACTCCACTTATTTTTAGGTCAATATTTAAAAAATGATTTTTTTTTTCTTTTTTGGTACAGAGTTTACATAAAAACGTGTTATTTGTATGAAATCACTATAGGTTTTTAATGTAGCACTCATAAGCTAATGATCAGCTTCTCCACGATAAACATTCAAAAGAAAATAATATAAAACTTTGTATCTGAAAACTATTTTTTGCCCAACTTTAGAAAAACACTTGAGTAAACTAGGACATAAATCAGGATAACAGAAAAGCTTCTATCGAGCAACTATGTGATAAAAAGGGTTGGGTGGCTTTAAGCAACAATCATAAAAAACCACCAGCTTACAGAATAAAATCTAGAATTCCCTGTCCTTTCGTGCGGCATACAAGCCTTCTCGCATCTGGGCCCTGGCTACCCCCGGCCTCCTGGTGTTCTTCTGCTACAGCCACAGTGAGTGCTGTCAGTGCCTTTCCAAGCAGTGTACCAACTCCATCTGTCTGCCATGCAAGGGAGGTGTCCCCCACGCACGGGAGGCGTCCCTTGTACACTGCTCATCTCAATGAGGCCTTCCCTGACCGCTCTGGTTTGGGGGTCCCCACTTCACCAATTCCTACCACAGCCCTCATTTACCACCGCAATTACTCGATTCCTTATCTAACTCCCCTGCTAGATCCTAAGCCCTGTGACTGCACCTTACTCTGCTTATTTCCAAACCTAATACAGTGTCTAGAAAACAAAGGTGTTCAAAAAGGTCTATGGATGGGCTGGCCAGCCACATGAATGAAAAGCCTTTGAAGCAACAAAGATAATGAAGACAGAAAAGTGAGATGATGAATAAAATTCTTCACTGATTTTTGATCCCTTTACCACAAATCCAATAAATAAATATCGAAAACAAACTTATGCTCAGAAGGTTATCTAATTATATGCGGTTAGTACCTCCCTGCTTTTCCCTATGATTTTAAGTTTCAAGGGAGCAGCAAGCCGTGGAAGGCTGTTAGTACAATCTCAGCCCACGGGGCTTCAAGGCAGGCGGAGCGGAAATCTGTCTTAAGTGGTCTAGTGTCCTGAATACCGAAGTCTAACTGCAAAGTATCAACACCGTCCCCGTGACTTATGACGCTGCCACTAAGAGCACCACGTCATTAAAACGCAGGCGATGGGGCGCCTGGCTGGCGCAGTCGGTTAAGCGTCCGACTTCAGCCAGGTCACGATCTCGCGGTCCGTGAGTTCGAGCCCCGCGTCAGGCTCTGGGCTGATGGCTCAGAGCCTGGAGCCTGTTTCCGATTCTGTGTCTTCCTCTTTCTCTGCCCCTCCCCCGTTCATGCTCTGTCTCTCTCTGTCCCAAAAATAAATAAACGTTGAAAAAAAAAAAAAAAAAAAAAACGCAGGCGCACACACTAGCGAGAGGCGAGAAACGACAAACGTACGCGGTGTTCCTGGTGTCGGGCACATCTCTGCGGTAGCCCAAGCGGTTACTGATGAGCATGTTGAAGGCGTGTTTCTGATAGCCCAAGTCTCTCAACTCCTGATCACGTTCATCAAAAATCATGCCTGCAAAGTTTTACCAAAATGACGGTAAATACATAAAGAAGCTAGAAACTTTCCTGTTAATGCTTTTAAAAGGCCTATACAGCGGTCTGAAAGTCTATTTTATGAAAATTGAGGTATTAGTTTCCATTTCCTCCTGTCATTTTAAATACTTTCAACTGCATGTATTAGAAAATCATTAAGTCCTAGAAACAGATTTTATTTCTTTGAAACTATGATCAAATGAAAAAAGAATCTATTTTAACCTTTCCTTTATTAATTGTGGATCTTTCAATCTCTCAAGATCTCTTTTACTCCTAACATTACTTATTATTTGAGATTTCTAAGGACAAGATTAAAGTTCTTTTTTTGTTAAGTTTTAACGGTAACCAAAATGGCTCATTTATCCCTTAAAATAAAACTGCTAAAACCAGGACTCCAGAATTACAGTGTGCAAAAGACATATACAGTAGATTCTCACTTCCAGATTGAACAGAATATAACTTCTGAAGAAAAAAGTTTCCCTTTTATACTAAGATTTTATAAACTCCTATATTTAATATACTCCAGCATCTTAACAATTCTTATAAGTAGAAATCTTATTAGATATAAGTAATCTCAGCTTACCTCTAAACCCAATGGTTTATGTTCTGTTTTAATTAACTCTGCCTTTCAAAATATGTTATATATAGTCAAGTTACCTTTCAACCATTTCTTTCCCTTATTAAATAATGCTAACAATTAAAATCCTCCCCCATAGGTTCCATTTTCTTTCCAGTCACTTAATTTTTCTTTCTTTCTTTTCTTTGTTTTCTATTCTGGACCTTATTACTTTCTCCCAAGTCCTCATAAAATATTGAAGTCAGAAACAGTAAATTAGAATATAACTCCCCACTGAGTCTGCAAAATCCTAGAACCTCAGCGAGTTCATTAACAAAATAAATTGGTGGGTGAAAATGACCCATTTCTAATCCCCTCTGCAACATATGACTCGAAGAACCGAGCTTAAAGCTCCAATGATTAAATACTCTGACATGCTACTAGAAGTCGAACACACTTACCCAATTCAGAAGAGAATTTCGTGTTGCCTTTTTCTGGATCTTCAACATGATTATCTATCATGTCATCAATTCTGTTTACTTTGAACTGTGACTCTAACACTCGACTTGGGCCTCGAGTGAAACGGGGATAAAATTTTTTGGGAAAAGGGCCATGGGGCCCGGACCCCTTGATGGGCACATTCTTAAGTGGCTGAGTCACTTCACTGAAGTTGAAATAAATAAAAAGCAAAACCGTCCAGGTCGCAGATGTGAAAAGGCATCCGTAACAGAAATATCGAGCTGTGACACTTCCCATTATAGACCTAACATCGCTGAAGGGTCATCTTCAATCTCCTGAAAGAGAAGAGCGGCTATGTTAGACCCTTCGGGACATTTGTGAATCATCTACCAAGTTCACAGCCACTGTCTTCTAAATAACCAAGTAGAACTTCTCAACTATTTACTTAGGACTCCTGTGCATACCGTCAGCAAAGACTCAAATGTGAGAAGATACATGGATGGCGCTGAATGAAAACTAGAAGGATTCGACAATTAAAACCACAGGCCAATGTGTCAGTGCTTGGGAAACCAATAGCAGTAAAACAGCTACTTGTTTATTTGCCCATGTTAAAGGATATTTTACCTTTGCTCTGGATTGCTTTCAGTGTGGTAATCTTTTTCAGGTTCTGGCTTTTCATGAGGAAAATGCAAGTACCTCGTGTATCATGACAGTCTATCTAAAGTCAAGTCCCTTTGCACCATAAAATTATAGGACTCTTTTAACCTAAGGCTCTTAAAATCTGTTATTCAAAATAAGCAACCTGAAGAAAACAGTTCTATTCCCAAAGATTGCACCTGCCCCAATGCCTATACTAGATTCAACAGTTCCGGTTCAACTTATTACTGAAAGCAGAAGCTTTAATCTATAGCTTTGACAAGAAGCTTCCTGGTGAACTCTGATGCACAGCCAGATGTGGGAACCAGTGGTGTAATGAAAAGACAAGATTAAGTTCTAGTCCCATTCTGTCCCATACTGGCTATGCAACTTGAACAAATCACCAAATTTTCTTAGCCTTCTTTTCATCAACTGTATTCAAGTTAATACTACAATCTACCTTACCTGATTCTTAGAATAAAATAAAATACTTAGAATTACATAAGATAGGTAAAGTATCAGGTACAGTGATTAACACACAAAACAGTGATTTGCAGTGGATGGAGAGAACCAGAGACTGTAGCTAGCTTTTGTTTCATTTGTTCACTGTATTTCCTTCACTTAGCACAAGCAATGGCACGTAGCAGCTGCTGAATGATACTACAGAATGAAGGAATAGAGCACAAATTCAACAACGTTAACTTTTTCCTCCTCCTCATTAGGTCTAATACGTAATATGAATGGTACACGTGACCACACGTTCCTTACAATGACCCACAAGTCCCTACCTCCTCTGCAATCACCTCTCTGACCATACCTCGCCTTACTTCCCTCCTCGTTCATTTCATTCTAGGCACAGGTCTCCTTCCGGGTCACCAAACGTGTCAATCATACTCCCACTGACAGATTATGCATTGGTTCTTCCCTCTGTCTAGAATGCTGGTCATCCCTGGGCGCCCGGGTGATTCAGTCAGCTGAGTGTCTGCCTTCGGCTCAGGTTGTGATCTTGCGGTGCGTGGGTTCGAGCCCCACGTTGGGCTCTCTGCTGTCAGTGCAGAGCGCGCTTTGGGTCCTCTGTCTCCCTCTGTCTCTGCCCCTGCCCCACTTGCACTCTCCCTCTCTCTCAAAAATAAACCAACATTAAAAATTTTTTTCAAAAGAATAATTTTCATCCTCAACAGACTTCACCTCTGTTGAATCTTTGCTCAAATATCACCTTCTCAGTAAGTCTCTAGATTTTACCGTATTTAAAACTGCAACTCAATCGCCAAATACTAGCACTTCTCATCTTCCCTACTCCTTGCAACTTCCGCCTTCTTACACACTACATAATTACGTATTATTTACTGTCCATGCCTGCTGCTAGAAGGTAAGCTTCAGTAGGGCAAAAGCTTTTATCTGTTCATTTCCTGCAGTATCCCGAGCTTACAACAACGCCTGGCATGCAGCAAACATTTAATAAGTATTCATAGAGTTTAATGAATCGATTACTGTAATACAGTTATCAATATATTTGCAAAATCCTGGGAATTTATAAACAAATGTATTGCTATCATGTTTGAGCGAAGCAATACCTTAAAGCTATGCACAGAGATCATGACTGCCTTATTTCTGCAGTATGAAACTACCCAGAACAGGCATAGTTATTATTAGAAGAGGTAAAGAAAGAAAAACGACAGGCTCTCAGTGTCCAATTTCACAAATTAAATAAAAAATTTATTTATTAAATAAATAAACAGGAGACCACTTTCCACTTTGTCTACTGCATGATCTTAAGTCCCCTCTTGGCTGCCGCAACCTGTGGGCAAAATGAAAAAGTTTTCTCCTCAAGACCTCACCCACAGGATTTGGTCAACTCCGTTCAAAATTTTTCCCAGAATACCCCTCCCAATCCTCAACACAACAGCTCAAACATCGAGGTCTTGCTTCCTGAACTGCAGAATGGATTAACTCTCAACAGTTTGATCAGGTAGATATTATTTTCCTCAAGCTACATTATGGTAATTCTTTAGAGAGCAATTTTTTCCTTGGTCAATTCTTACACTAAATTAAGGAACCTATAAAAATGAGAGAAACTTATAAAATCAGGTCATTTATTTTTTTATTAAAAAAAATTTTTTTTAATGTTTATTAATGTTTGCGAGACAGAGTGCGAGCAAGGGAGGGGCAGAGAGAGAGGGAGACACATGTCCGAAGTAGGCTCCAGGCCCCAAGCGGTCAGCACAGAGCCCGATGTGGGGCTCGAACCCATAAACCGCGAGATCATGACCTTAACTGAAGTCAGACGCTTAGCCAACTGAGCCACCCAGGCTCCCTGGTCATTTATTTTATATAATTAACCATAACAGTCTTTCAGAAGCAACAGAGACACTCTCAGTTTTTAGACAGGTCAAGAAGTTAGCACTCAAATATGAAGAAAGTATGGGGCGCCTGGATGGCTCAGTCAGTTAAGTGTCCAACTCTTGATTTCAGCTCAGGTCATGATCTCACCATTCACGAGTTTGGGCCCTGCTTGGGATTCTCTCTCCCTCTTTCTCTGCCCCTCCCCTGCTTTCTCTCTCTCAAAATAAATAAAACTCTAAAAAAATATATGAAGAAAGTACAAAGCAGTCAGATACCTGTTATTTAATAAGATGACCAGTTCTTAACTGCTTAAGAAGTTAAAACATCCAAACGAAACCCAAAAGCTGAAATTTTAATCTAATCCACACTAACATATAATGAATCCAGCATCTACACAATAAAGTGTGCTATCTGTTCTTCCTTCTATGGGCAATCACCCATGGCTTCAATATCTGAGGCTGAAAGCCTTTAAAAGGAGGACCAAAGCAAACATTTAAAGGTAGTTAATAGAAAACAGCTAGTGAACAAATTCTTTCAATCATAAACTTGGACAGTTAACAAAGCCAAAACTTCAGCAGTTAGATGTCAACATAATACATTTCCAAAAGTTAAATGAACAAAAGGCTAACCAGCTGTGCACATGAATTTCCAGTGAGACCAGGCAGTCATGGCCTGGTAGAGGCTGAGACAGGTGCCTTGTGAGCAGAGTCAGGGTTTCACCGGGGAGGTACAAAAGCAGCAGACTGGGGACAGGGACATGCAACGTGCCAACGGGAATGACCGACGGATCTGAGGTTCTGGTGTGGCTGAATGATCGCTGGCATCACACTACTACAGAGAGGGACACGGAATGACTGCGTGTGGTGCCCGGAAAACGCAAGGCCAACACTCGCATTTGGGGGAGGTACGGTTAACGACAGAAGAATCCTCTCCAAATACATGAGCTGGAGCTGTGGCAATAAACAACGTGCCTAGAGCCTAAGTGCTACTATACTCGCCGTGAGCAACCCCCTCAGGGGACAGGGATCATTTCTGTCTCTTCAAACCCATTCTGTTTGGCCCAGTGTCTAGTATTAAAAATTAACAAATACTGGTTTGTGTAATTAAAAATTATGCAGAGTGTATCTCTCTTCCAGAAGAGGTTACAGGACCTTGATTCTGTGCTATGTAAAATCGTACTTGGGGCACTTGGGTGGCCCACTCAGTTAAGCGTCCCAACTCTTGATTTTGGCTCGGGTCATGATCTCACAGTTTATGGGTTCGAGCCCCGCGTTGGGCCCTGCACTGACAGTGTGGAGCCTGCTTGGGATATTCTCTCTCTCTCTCAAAAACAATAAATAAATAAATAAACATGTAAAAAAAAAAAATCTTAGAGAAGAGTATATATGAGATAAGCACATCCTGGGGAATAAACATTTGTCAAGAGGAGGGGAAGGAGGAGAAAACAGCTAACCAGTTAAAATAGTTTCATTAGATGTAGTCATTACTAAGCAAAATATTCAGTATGCCAGCAAAAGTCCCAAGTCTTCCTTTCTCAGTCCAAGATTTCTTAATTATAAATTTGAAATCACTGCAAAAGTTAATTTTATAAATCAAGACGGTTTCATATGATTCTTTGCATATCAATTTGAAAGCCTAGAAGAGTAACATTTAAGGAAAATATGACTTACTCAAACTGACCCCAGTCCCAACAGAAATGTAAACAGACCAATCATCACAGAAGAAATAACCTCATAAGAGTTCCTCAAAACAGGGACACCTGGGTGGCTCAGTCAGTTGAGTGTCCAACTCTCGATTTCAGGTCAGGTCACGATCTCACAGTCCACAATCTCAGTCATGAGATCAAGCCCCACATCAGGCTCCATGCTTGGGATTCTCTCTTCTTTCCCTCTGCCCCTCTCCCCTGCTCGCACGCACTCTCTCTCTCAGAAGAAAGTTCCTCAAGACAACATAAACCACCGGGCACAGAGTTTCACAGGGGAATGCTACCAGTCCTTTAAAGATCTAATGACCCTAATGCTACTTAAGCCACTGCAGAAATAATTAAAAGAAATCTTCCAAATCTGTTTTATAAAATGAGTAGGACACTGATCTCAAAATCTGACAAAAATCGAACCTCTCCCAAACACACATCTCATTTACAACTACAAATCTTTGAAAAATATAAAAATTCTTAAGAACACTAAGCACAAACTTAACAGGAAATACCTTAAACATGTACAAATAAAACCATAAGACACTCCTGAGAGCCCCAAAAGATGACTTGATCACATGGAAAGATGTACCTTACTCTTGGACAGAGAAACCCCACATCATAA